AACTTTGATTTTATTTCAGTAGCTTGTTTTTTTTGTTGCTAAACTTGTATTATTTTCTTTTCTATTTTAGCTTTCTTTTTAATACTTGCTGGTTTGCTGTGGTAGTCTTTAACAAATTCTTTGAATTGTTCTACTATAGACTTCAAGGCTATTTTGTTGTACTGTCTTCATCGATTCTTTCTTTGTTCTTGAAGTTTCTTGCTCTAATCTAATTCTAATTTTGACTTTATTTTAGCATCTTGTTTTTCTCTGTCTTTTAATAAATTTCTTATTTTATTGGCTATATTTAATTCTATCATTATACTGTTTATTTCTTCATATATGATATAACTAACTGGATCTTTTCTTTCTTACATTGCTTTATAAAAATAATGGTAATTTTTTTTTATAAGTGCAAGTTCTGTATACTCTAGTTTCCTTCTGTTGTATTGCTATAATTCTTGTTAAAGCTCTTCTATTTGTGCACCAACTTCTTCTTCTATAATAAGTTTTTTTTAGTATATTTTGCTATTATTTGTTCTACTTTCATATTAATCTCTTCATCAGTCATTGTTGTTATTACTTTCTGAATAGTTTCTAGATATATTTCTGAGTTTTCTAGTTTGTTACATTTTTTTCAGAATATTCTACTAATATTTGCTCCACATGTCTTGTTGATTCCTTCATATAACTTTCTGTTTTCTTCTTGCTGTGAGTTTTGTAATTATTTCATATCTTGGTCTATCCCTTAGATCTGCTTGATTATTATATAAAACTTCTCTATAATGCTAAGTATTTCTTCTTTATAATTAACTCATGTGAGTATATTCCTTTTTTTAATGCTATCTCATATTTGCAATTATTTCTTTTTTTAAATTCAAGTTTTGTACTAAAAATTTTACTCTATTTGTATTGTTTAAATTCTTCTAGAAGAGCTTCTATTCTTTTCTCTGCCTCTTTTCTTGTAGTGAGTCTTCTTCCAGAATATTCTGTTAACTTTGCTTCATGTGACTTGTTGTTTTCTGTTGTTGTTGTTTGTTGTTGTTGCTTGTTGTGATTGTTTTCTATTTTTGTTTATCCTTGTTATATAGTTTTTAGCATATTTTCTTTGTTTATATTTTATTGCATGTTGTAATTTTTATATTACAAAAACAGATCTGTAATTCAGGATCAAGGCCGATTTTCCAAAAATTTACCAAGTGCAAAAAAATAGTGATGATTTTTTATGACTTCTTCTATTTTTTGCTGGTTCTGTTCTTTTTACTTAAGTCCTTTAAAAGATTAAATATTTTTTGTAGTTCTTTTTCTCTTTTTTAGAACTTTGAGTTTGGTTTTCTAGTAGTCTTTTGTGTGTTTTCTGTAGTTTTGTTACTTTTTGTTTCTTAGAAATTTGTGTTTGATAATCAGCAAAAAGTGTTGTTATTGTATTTTTTATTATATTTAATTATATTATATAAGTAATATATATTGGTAATATAAGTTGCTATTGTAAAGATCTTAAGTTTTGTATTAATTAGTATTATAGATATTAATATCAAGATTGTTGTTAGTTTAACAATTTTGAATAATAGCTAGTTTAAAATTTTACTAGTTAGTTTTATATTAGTTGAGTATATTTTTATATAAATTTATATATTAGTTGTTCTCGTTATATATTTTTGTATATTGTTATTATTGTATATATTTTTTATTTATAAAATATTCTTTGCTATTTTGATTAGTTTTGTATTAATTATTGTATTTAAAAATATTGGTTCAGGTCACTTCACCAACAGTTCTTTCATAGAAATAACATTTCACTGACAACTATTTACTGATAATTATTTTACTGACAAATATATTTCACCAACAAGTTTATTTTACTAACAGTTTATTTCACCGAAGCTTATTTTACTGACAAAATAATTCTGATTATTGTAGTTAAGATCAGGTTAGAATTAGAGTTAAGGTTGGTGGAATTTATAAAAAAAGCTTGTATTTGAAATAAACTTTAGTGAAATAAACTGTCAGTGAAATAAACAAGTTAGTAAAATAAACTTGTTAGTGAAATAATTGTCAGTGATTTTTTGTCAATGAAATATTATGTCTATGAAATGAGTATCAGTGAAGTAATATGTATCCAAAAATATACTGTTGCATATTTGTAGTATTTGTAATAGTTTTTTAAATAATATAAAGTTGTTTGCTTTGTTGTATAGTATTTTTGTATTATACAGTCAGACCTCTCTAAATACTACATCTCTAAGTATATATCCTATAAAACACCTTCCTAAATGCACGTCTTCTCTTGGGCCAAACTAATATTATATCTATAGATTTTTACCTCCCTAAATGCAATACCTCTCTAAGTGCACATTTGGCTAAAATTTTGTATATAGTCCCGTTGCATTGTATTTAGAGAGGTCTAACTGTATATTTTGTAATATTTTTAGTATTTTCTGTATATTGCTATATATGCATTTGTATTAGCTAACTTGTATTATGCTGTAGTTTTTGAATTTATTTATATAAAGTTATAAAAAAATTTTAATTTATTATAGAAATAGAAATAAAATAAAAACTTTTATAAGCAACAGATAATATATAGTAAGCAACAACAGTTAATAGTTTAGTACAGAAAATAATTTGAGATATTAAAAATAACATAAAAACAATTTTTTTTTACTAAGAAAATCAAACTTTATCTACTAAGTAAAGTTATTAAAAATAGTATTTTTTAGATACCTTTAAATTAAATATCTTAGAGTAGAATATTTAGTTTATGTGTTAAATGTATAATGTAACCAAATTGTATCAAAATTTGTAGATATCTAAAAAACAACATTTTTAATAACTTTATATTGTAGATAACATTCAATTTGCTTAGTAAAAATCCTGTCTGTGTAAAATGATTATTTGCTAAAAAAAATTGATGTATATTACCATATAAACAGATTTGATACCATGAATAACATTTGTAGTTTGTTGTATTTTTAATCTGCTGGGTTGAATAATCAATAGCAATGATCTGCCACATTACCCTTCAAATATTAATTTTTAACTTTTTTGATTTTTTAATGAATAATAAAATAATGTAAAAATTACTATCAAAATCATTTTTTTTTTTATAATTAATTTAAAGACATCTGATGAAGTATGAATTTTATAAATTTTATAAATAATCATTTCCTTTCTGAAAACTTTTATTAATAACTATTCTTAACTAACAATGCCTGATGAAACTATTTTACACTGACAAAATGGTTTCGTCAATGGTTTGTCTAATGAAACTTGACAATTGACATAACTACTAACAATTGACGAAACTACTGATGATTGATGAAACTCTTGATGAAATTAATTTAACCAATTAAATTAAAAATGCAGCTATCCATCTTTCAACAAGCTTCTTTATAATGACCTCTGGATATTCTGAATCTTAAATTTTTTCAAAATTACTGTTACTTCATCACGAAGTTTCGTCAGTCTCTTCATCAGACCTATCGGAAACATACGGTAGGTAATGCAGATCATCAGATAATATCGGATAAATAGGTCAAAAAAAATAGGAACTAGTAGATATAATAATAACCAAAAAATTAAGTTCATATGGGCTAATTTATTTCCATTAACTAGTTTTGCCTTTTTAAACTTTTCTCAACTTGTATCATATAAATTTTATGCTTCGTCATGAGTTTCGTCATTCGTCACGAGTTTCATCATTCGTCATTCGTCAATTCGAAGTTGCCTGACGAAACCGTTCCGTCATTCGTCAGTGATGAAAGGTTTCGTCATTCATCAGATCATTATTCTTAACTGCACCATTATACCTCCTGTTACTTTATAGCTATAGATATAGATGTACATGCAGATACACATGTACTGTACATAACATATGTCTATTGCGTTGAGGAAAGAAAAAAAATTCGAATTATTTAAAACAACCGAAATCTAATAAAAAAAGTGTTCTTTTAGTACTTATAAGTCAATCCCGTCTAATGTTATGCGTCTATTTTTTGAGTTTTTTTTTTAATTTTTTAATTTTTTTTTTCTTCTGATTTTTTGCCGGTATGATGAATTGATGATCGTCAAAGATCATAGCAAAGAACAGCGAAAAGATCGTGAACTCAACCCCTCAGCACCCTGATCAACAAACTTAACGTGATTTGTTGTCATTCTATCGGTACGACGGCATCTTCCCATTCTGAAAATGTGCACTATGTTCATTTACCAATAGTATTGGATGGAAATTAGATCCGGATCAGAATTTATAATTATTGGATGTGTAACACCCAATGACAGTTTTATTTGGCAGGTGATACTGTACTATTATCTTACGGTTATAATGATCGTTTCACATAATAAATGAAGGCTTTAAATTTAGTGCACCAACTTTGGCCCCTTTTGGGGACAAAGTTGGTGCATTAAATTTAAGACGGAGCATCTAATAACAGTAATACTTAAGAAAAATTTCTTTCCGGAATAAAAATAAGAACAAAACAAACAAATCTACTATCTTTAACACATTATGGGCAGCGAAGCCGCCTACATGATTATGTCTCTAGTTATCTATTATAAAATGATGGATGAAAATTTCCTTTCTGGAGAAATTAGATATCGTATCATAAAATAGTCCCAAGATTCAACAATACACGGTAAAAAGTCGATACAATCTGGTTCGCGTATGCACATAATCATTATATCACATACGGAAAAATGGATTAAGTTATAGTAAAATTGGAAATCTTTTAATGATATATAAAAATGACATGTAAAAATTTTTCTTTCTGGAATTCAATCAAAATCAATATAGTAAAAGTCAACACGATTTGAATGGTTTGCACATGTTGGTTGGTCAAAATTATAAATCTTTAAAAAATCATTAACTTGATTACAAATAATGAGGTAAAATAAATAAAAGAAAAGATAATGGAAATTTACTAACACAAAAATAAACTATTGCTTAATGATAGCATAAATACTAGTGACGATAATAGTAAATAAACATAATGAAAATATCTCTAGCCCAAGGAATATTCAGCCTAATATTTTTCTTGTGCACCCATCATAAAAACGGGTTTATACTTGTTAGGAATTTGCATTCCTTTACCAACATATTTCTCAAGATTCGAATATATAGAATATGGAAATGGTATTTCCTTTGGTGCAGAAACAGCATCTAACCTTGCCATCTGTTCAGGTATTAATCTATTTATTTAAATCATTAATATAAATGATATGGATCAATTTAATACAAAGATAACGGAAATTTATAAAAAATTTACTTGAATTCAAGAGCACCAAGAT